TTTATCAAGACAATATATGCTCAGCAGGACATAGATCCTAATCAGTAATTCTAATTTTGCCTTTGCCTTATGATCTTTATTGCCCTTTGAAGCATGTGATCTTCGTGACCTACTCCCTGTTCGTACACTCCCTCTCTTTTTAAAATCCCTAATAAAAATTTGCTGGTTTTGCAGCTCAGGGGACATCACAGACCTACCAATATGTGATGTCACCCCCAGGGGCCCAGTTGTAAAATTCCTCTCTTTGTACCCTCTCTCTTTATTTCTCAGACAAGCTGACACTTAGGGAAAGTAGAACCTATGTTGAAATATTGGGGGTTGGTTCCCCCGATAGAAATGTGTGGGGCACATTTTGTTGTCACAATAACAAGAATCAGCTACTGGCATTTAGTGTCTGGGGATCTGGATTGGTAACTTACTATGCACAGAACCATCCCACACTACGAAGAAATCTCCAATCCAAAATGCCAGTTGTGCCTTGTGTTGAAATACTGATTTAGTGAGTAGAGCCTTTATTAGTCAAAATTTTTAGCTGCAAATAACAGAACCAACTTTGGCTAGTTTAAATGGAAAGGGAACTAATTAAAGGATATTCAGTAGCTCACAGAATCTTTAGAAGGTCCAGAAAATTAGGCTGAGTGGCTAAGCAGTAGGAACAATGCCTTGTTACACTGCCAGCTGCTCTGGAAGAATCCAGCTAGTGCTACTTTTTACCAGCTTGTAATTACTACACAGAATAGGGATGTGTGGGATGTGGGATGCCCCAGCTAGGTAGGGCCCTTGCTGCTACTGCTTCTGAGGTGGCTATCTCTCCACCATCCCTGCCAGGATGAACTGATTCCATGCAGGGTTTCCCTGTTGCTTTGTGGAACCCAGGTCACATATTTGAACTCCAGTGACATGGAAGGCTGAAAGGGTGAGTTCTTGGCCTCCACCTTGGGGTCTCTGTCCTGGGGAAGCAAGGCTCACAAGGTAGAAAGCTACACGAAGATAGGAGTTCAAAAGATACTGGGCAGTCACCAAGTGTGACAAATGTCCACCAAATCATCAAAGGCCCTTGTTACAGACCTCTCCCTAAAGAGACTTCTTGAGCATGGACCTGGGAAAAACAGCTTCTAAATTTGTCTTCCAGAATCTTGAAAGACAAGATTAGTCTCTCCCTACTGTTGCATATTCATTCTATTTTCTCTACTTCAATTAGCACATCAGATATTCTTTGGATTCGTGCGTAAGTATCATTTTTCATTTCTTTCCTCAGCACTGTAATTCCTGTCCAGCTGTAAGATTTATTTCTTTGTCCTCTCACCTCCTACAACTTCATATATCATACATTAGTGGTTTCAAAAAAAAAGATTTTTTTGAAATTATGGGTAAGATAACATATTTGGCTAAAAAAAATCAGTGAAGACAATGTCTTTTGTTCAAAGACATTATCATGGCAACATTGTGCCCAAGTGGTTTTGGGCAGGAAATATCAGGAATAATTTAAAGCATTGTACCAGGCTGGGTATGGTGGCTTATGCCTGCAATCTCAACACTTTGGGAGGTCAAGGTGGGAGGATCACTTGAGGCCAGGAGTTCAAGGCCAGCTTGGGCAACAGTAAGACCCTGTTTCTACAAAAAAATTTTAAAATTCACTGGGCATGGTAGTGTGCCTGTAGTTCTAGCTACTCAGGAGACTGACGCAGGAGGATCCCTTGAGCTCAGGAGTTGGAGGCTGCAGTGAGTTATAATCTGATTGCACTGCTGCACTCCAGCCTGGGTGACAGAGCAAGACCCTGTCTCTAAAAATAAATAAATAAAGCATTGTACCAATTTGCTGTGTTTACCTAAGGACAAGAGCTGCTTCTGCATATACCAAAAGTTGGCAGGACTGCAAGCAGGACTGTGTAACTTTTCTCAGATCAGTCAAAGAATGTAACACATAAATATATAGGTCAGTGTCATTGAATAGTAGCTTTTCAGAAACAGTGTGAACCATTACAGGGAAAGCAACATAGATTTACTGAAAACAATGAATTAATTTCTTAGTTTAATTGTTTCTTTGATGCTGTAATAGAATTTCATGGTCTTCCAATAAATGATTAAATGATGGAATATGCAGAGGAATAAATATAATAGTTTACATTTTAAAATCATCCCAAATCACCTAACTTTATCAGTTACACTTAATGGATTCAAATAAGCAGTTTTGAGCATATCACCTTGGAGATGATAATAGCACCTTCCTCCTTAGAAGCTCTCAAATTACCTTATAAATAAGCCTTTATCTTCAAAACCGTGATGCAGAAATGAAGTGCTGTAGTTAACATCACAATTTTAAATTCACTGACTCTAAGTGAACTACTTTAATATTCATTTTCACTGTGAATGAAATAATCTAGGGACTTGTCTCATTAGCATCTGTGCTGCTATCAAATTCATATAGGGACCTAGAAACTGTTTTTTAAAGTACACCAAGTTTATGTATTTTTATATGAAGTCTATCTACCTGGGAAAACTGGAATTTAGGGTTGTCTCTATAATTTGTTTAAAGACAAAATTATTATAGGTGAGATTTGAAAGTGTTGAAAACAAGGGATGATGACAGGTTATCCATCAATTTATGTGTGGAGATACTAAAAGTTTTTATAGTATAAAATCTATAGTTTGATTATATAATGAAATAAATCACTATCTTGATTGTAGAATGAAATAAATTCCTAATTTGTTACATGATGTGATAGATGGTTTCTGCATCTGTGATCGAATGCATAGAAACAAACACATCTGTTTGGTCACATGCCTGAAATAATGCCCAGAAAATGAAGTCAAACGGCTTTAATTACCTCCTTATGGGAGTGCCTGGCTGTTGGGATGACTGGAAGGTAACACATTTGGGGTTTTGGAATGAATAATTTGAATCTTAAAATTATTAATCTTAAAATTAAGATTTTTTTGTCTCAAATTAAATTTTAATTAAAAATTATTTACTTAAAAATTAAAATTTATTAAATATAAATCTAGTATATCTTAAAGGCCTATAAAAATACTTCTGCACTGAGAAGTAGACTAATACAATAATAATCTAACATTTTATAAATGGGACTAAGTTCAAAGCTGACAAGAATTTTGTCCTACTGTTGAAAATATTACTTTTTGACATTCCTAATTAATCTAGGACATATTATTTTTCCAGTGACTGATTCCCAAAAATGTTGGCATTTGTTGATAAATATGAATATGTGCCACTGGGGCTTCCCTACCCGAAGCTGAGAACCAACACAAGTCACAGTGTAAAGTCTTCTAGAACTCTAAGCTCCTCCTGCCAACAGATGGAATAGCGTGGCCCCATCAAGGCCTCACACAGCAGGAGCTGCGACAATGGTGTCAGCATGAGTAGCATCATGGTGTGGTCACAAAGAGCACTGTTCTAGGATCCTTGAAAATCACTCAGCCAAACTCTTTCCAATTCCAGATTGGGCAGTGAGGCTCAGAAAAGTGAATTGGTTTGGTCAAGATCATGTGTCAGTGGTGGACCCAAGTCTAGAAGACACAGTCTAGAAGGCCCAAGCCAGCACTCTGTGGCCAACCATGCAGCCTCCCTGTCACAAGACAAGGCTACATAACATACGGTACTGACTCAGGACAACTCACTCTGCCTATGTGACCCAAAGAGCAATTATTCCGTGACTGACTAATGGGAATAAAGTCACTTGGAACATTTCAGATCCCAAACTTAGAGTTCTGTAAATTAATGTCTTATTCGCTTTTAAAAATGGAAAACAAAATTTGTTTTATTTTATACCTTCCATTTTCTTCATAGACCTTCTTAAATGGAGATTTCATTGAGAAGGATGAGAATCCTTAATCCCTATATTAAGTGTCTGGGTGATTTTTCAGTTCCATCACATCAGCTGATCACTCTCACATATGTTCAGAGAAATTTAGGGCTGCAAGCAAGCTGGTATAGTCAAAAGAAAGTGACTTTCCTTTTCTTACACTTCTTTAATTTGTCAAATATATCATACTTGGTGGAGAGAAGCAGCGCTGCATTTTGGAAAAAGTGTTGACTTTGAATTAGAAAAGATCGCAATTTAAATTTGGCCTTACCTTTATTAGCTTTATAACCTTGGGCTATTTAACCACACAGGGCCCCGGTTTCCTAATCTGTAAAAGTACTAATTACTTCCTAATAGGGTCACTGAAGGGAAGAAATTTAATCATGAGCCTAAATCACCTGGCACACAATCTGGGACTTAGTATTTAACAAAAATCATGATTTTAAACTAAAGTAACAATAAGACATATACCCCAGATTGCAAAATGTATATACTATTTCAGCCTTTCAAATGATCTAGATGGATTGGGAATCGCTCCCAGAGGATATTTGTAGATACATGCTGAGAAGTGCCTTCTCTCCAGAAATACTGTTAACTTAGATTATGGGGTGGTAAGGATAACACGGGGGCATTGACGTAGAGCCATAGAGCCCCGGGTGACAGTTCAAGTCCAGTTCCCTGATAGCAGTGGGGCCCTGGATAAGGCATGCCACCTCTTGGAGTCTGTTTCCTTGTTTGAAAAACAAGGCAAGGCCAAAACTATCTTTGCTTTCTACCTTAAGGATTTACTTAAAGAAGCCAGTTACAAACAGTCAAGCCCTCTACCACTGAAAAGGGTTTCATGGCAAACAGCTCCCAGGATTCTGCACCTGGATGGATCTCCACTTTTCATCTTTGCTAGGATGTCACACCAGTGACACATTCTTAGCTGTTTATAAGATGCTATTTAGATTTTCTTTGAATTTAAGGTTCTGTTGTTAATTCTCTGTGAAGCTGACTGACTTGATATCATTTTAAAGGGTAAAGTTAAAGGTGCTTTCACAACTGTGCTATCTTAGCATGAAGGACAGGAACATGAAGGTGAAGCAACACTGAAACTATCGGAGCTCCTATTTAGGACTTCGTTATACCAACATAGATCCAGCTACTCTCAAGAGTGAAAAAGAAATGAGGAAAGGCAACAAGGGAAAACAATATGTTTATTAAGAGCCATGAAAATGCATAAACTCATTTGTAAATAAATGTAGTATAATTTACCCAGTGAAAAAATAGCTAAAATCCATGAGTAAACTGGATTTTATATTTGAAGTGATTTCACATATTTGATCTCCAGTGATTTCCCCCTCCATCATGATCTATTGGTAGCAGCAGTTTTGCAATGACTATAGAAAAAGCTGTTATCAACAGTCATCACACCAGGGGAAGTTTTCAAGAATGCTCTTCAAAACAGAAGCAGCGCAAACAAATTCAGATGACAAGGGATACGGTAAGACCTGGAGCTTATCTTCAGAAATGTAAAAAATAAAAATCCCACACATGTATTCCTTAAGAAACGAAAAAGCAAAACTACATTTTGATCAGTGAAAAATATTATAAGGTTATATAAAACATTCTTAACCAGTGATTGCAATAATTACATTTATAAATGTTCATTCAAGTACTATTGTTCAATAAACATTCAAATTCTCATTAAAAGTAACACTAGATGTAGACACACCTGGACAATGCTTCTTTTGATGTAGCAACAATCATGTCAACAGGAGGCAAGTGACCCTTAAAATACTGTTGTTGGCTCTGTTTTATTCTATTTGTCTGTGAATGATTTGTTCACAGTCTGTATTTTCTTTTTCTGCAAGGACCCGAGGAATATCTCACAATAGCTATAATTAAGAAATCATTTCTATAAAATGACTCTCAATATTACAGAAACAGACATTCTAAAACACAAGTGTAGCTCAAAAAATAATAGGGCAGAATCAGTTTTCTTTGGCAAGAAATTGCTAATTCCTCACCAAATGTTGGTTTGCTGTTGTGCAGACACTATCAGAAACTTCTTTGGTGTTTACCAAAGAGCTACTTAATAAGCTGGAAAGATTTCATAAGCTATGTTGTCACAATCACAATGTAGAGCTTATGTCAAAGTTGTGCTGAAATCAACGTCATTTGCTGGATTACTGTTGTTAATAAGTCTTTCTTCAAAAAGTTCCCTCCTAATTTTGGCCTGAGTCTCAGGCTTTAATAAAAATTCCTTTATCTGTTTCACTTTGGACTTCAGACCCATCGTTTCTCGATGCAAAGCTTCATTAATTAAGTCTCGGATTCCAATAGGTTTCTTGCCTAAGAAAAAAAAAATTATATAATACATTTCATTAAATATGGCATACTGACTTATCAAAATAGGATTTAAAAAAACTTTAAAATGTTGCCCACATTTTATAGAAAAGGTTGCATTTCACCAAAAATATATCATTTACATGAAACATAATTTACTATAAATAAAGATCACTGCATAGCAACAGCACACTTAGGACAAAAATGAAACATTATGGACTAATTGTACAAATGACAATTTCAACAGTGATTATTTTAAACTTAGCACTTGATAGCTGTGTGTGAGAGTTCTGGCCTCAGATAAAGTAGTCAAATGCCCTGCTAAGCAATATAAATGGCAGTATTCCATTGATGGCAAGGCCTCTTTCACGGCCTTTAATTTGTGTCCAGGAGGCATAACCAAAAGTTCCCTCTCCCTTATGCATGGCTGAGGGCGAGCAAAACTTGGGCCATTCTTCTTTCATCAATTAGTTTCCTCTGCCAGTCCCAGCACTCCGTTTTTCTTCTGTTGTGTTTCAGAAATGCAAACACATCGATCATGAAAGTATTAGGCAATCTCCACAGATTGGACCAGAGAAACTTAAACAGCACGCTGCAAGTCAGTCCCTAGACTCAGCAGAGGGGAGGAGGGAGGCTTTGCACAGAGACATGGGGGCCTGCGTTCTGGCCTCATTTCCTGTTGTTCTCATTGTCATTGCCATTCCGATCAGCTGCTTCAGTTTTCACAGAGCTCCCCTCCCCTGGCTTGTTTTTATTCTGTGTTTCCTCCAGATACTGCTGGACAGCCTTGAGCACCGCGTTCTCCACCAGCCTTTTACTGAGCCTTACTAGTTCAGCGTCATCGGGCTCCCCTCCGTTCTTTTCACCTACATTCCACAATAGAGAAGAGAGGTCACTGAGATCACATTGCCATAGAAACTTGGCATGCAGGGGCCGGCTAGTTTCATTAGTTAAAAAGAGCAAGTGTAAATTGGATCTATAAATTCAAGAACAGTGGGTTGGCTTTTCATTGGGTATTTGCGGAAGCAGAAGCCTGTCTATTCCTGAAGGCTTCAGATTAAAAAGTAGTTCATTAGTCCCAATCTAGACAAGCTCTACCTACCAATGCGGGATGTTTCCCATTTATATGTGAATTTCTGTTCTCTCATCCAAGGCTGATTACTACTAACGTCCATGTCCCCACCACGTGAAGTCTCAGACATGTGAATTCACACTAAGTAGACCTATGTCTGCTTCTCATTCTCCAATATCAAATATCAGGTCGTCAAGATTTCCCCAGCATCTCATTACTTAAGATCACTAATTTAAAAGTGCTTGGCCTATAGGTTGGTTGTTAATAAATGCTCAGTGCTGCCATGAAGATAAAGGCAGTCACTACCACTAGGAATTGGTTTAAAATAAGCTTGTAAGACTAATATTCTTTTTAATTCCAGTGCTATCACTGCAATTTAAGAACTAGGAAATTCTTCAAAGAAAAGTTAGGATTATAATGGTACATTACTAGATGTAAATATTTTATGGTCATTTTACTTCCCTGATAGTAATGATCCAGGTGTAATTATTCCATCTTTTGTTTTACTCTAAAAGAGCTGGTTTCCAACTATTCTCATGGTAGACATTTCCCAGTCATTCTCTTTCTTGTCTCCCTTAACTGTGGAAAGGAACTAAGGGGCTCCTTCCCCAGTTAAGGGAGACAAGGAAGAGAATGACCATTCAGGGCTCACTCTCCTCCCATCGAGCTGGGGACCCAGGAAAGAACAAGGTTGGAGGCAAAGAAGTCACAGGATGCTTGCATAGTAAAATCAGCTCCGTTTTGGAAGACTACTCATGGGTTCCAGAAGACAAAGTCAGTGTTGCACTTCCATCTCTGGGTCTGGGACAGGCAGATACAAAGGGTGTGAGCTGGAAGATGGGCACTACTTCCCATACTCACATATAATAGGGATTGAAGAACAGAAGCAGGTAGGCCAAGGGTGAGAACTGGCCCCCAACCTTGTTTCAGAGCCCCCTATTTGTACGTAACACCCATCAAGACCAACCATGCTTATAACCATCCCCATCATTCCTGGCAACATCCCAAGCAGAAGAGAGGGTGGGATAAGACCCATCTAGAAACACTAATAGTGGGAACCCTTAGCAACTGCCTTCTCCTCAAATACGGCAATATGGCACCCCAGACCCATGATCAGAAGTCCAAGATAGAACACCTGCAGTGCAAAATATGTTTAGAATTGAGTAAATGTCAACTCAGTAATAACTAAATATAACTTGCTAAATAATACTATTAAAGTAAAGAAATTCATAGATAATGTATTTACTATTAAAGTAAAGAAATGCATTGCTAACGTCATCTTGGGTGGCAAGTTAAGACTTTTTGTTTATCAGAGTTAATGAATATATTGCCTAATATTTAGGGATTTTATTTCAACCTTATAACACGGTGTTTATACTCTATAGACAATATCTCCAAATGAATGTGGAACTGTTTCTATAATGACTCTTCCCATTTAAAAGGGAAAACTCCAACTGCGAATGAAGGAATACTTTTTAAGTACCCTCCAAAACACTACACTGTAAATGACTGTCTACATCTGCCATCCTACTTGTGCTCTGTATTCAAGTCCCCAGACATTGCACCCTGGGGCTGTTCCTGATCCGTCAGCTTTCCTCATCCAGCAAGAATGCACCGTTTGGGAATACTGAGTCTTCTCTTCAACTCTACCTGGGCGCCTTCACAACCAAATGTGTTCATGTTGTATTTCTACTGTCACAGTGGAAGTGTCCTAATTACTTTTTTTTTTTTTTTTTTTGAGACAGAGTCTCGCTCTGTCCCCCAGCTGGGTGAGTGCCACATTCCGCTCATGCAAGCTCCGCCTCCGGTTTCCGCCAGTTTCCTGCCGTGCAGCTCCCAGTAGCTGGGACTACAGGTGGCACCTCGCCCGCCACACTCCGCTTATTTTTATGCACGTTTTAGTAGAGACGGCGTTTCACTATGTTCAGCCGTGATGGTCCTCTATTCTCTGACCTCGTGATTCGCGTGTTCGTCTCGACCCCCGTTCCAATGTGCTGGGATTAGAGTTGCGTTTGGAGCCACCACGTCTGGCCCTCCTATTTATCTTAACACTTCAAAGAATCCTTTCCTCAAACACTACATTTTGGCCAGGCACCCGTGGCTGCACTGACTGTAACTCCCACTCCACTCTTGGGAGTGCTTTGGCAGGTGGTCACGGCTCAACGAATTGAGACCAATCCTCTGGCAACATGGTGCATACCCCATCTCTCTATCTCCTCCCCCACAATTAAGCTGGTGCGTGGCAGCTGCCCTGTTAGTCCCAGCCTACCTCGGACGCTGAGCGGCGAACCCCTTGAAGACCAGGAGCAGAGTTGGCAGGGAAGCCAAGCTCCGCGCTGACTACCCTACGCCTGGCGGCCGTGTGGATCCTCTAAAAAGAGAAGAACAAAAGTGAAATTTCTCCTTCTGACATCCTTTTTTTTCGTTTTTATCTGTTTACTATTATTCAAGGCAGTCAGCTCAAACAGATGTTGTATGCATTCTTTGGTTGCCTTTCCTTTTCTTCTATACCCTTTTAAATTTACAATGCTATTGTATTGTGCTTCCATGATTTCTCTCCATCTTCAATGCGCCTGGTTTACAACTGCTAGATTTTATTTCTAAAATCTCTTTCAATATCTTTACAGGGAACATGTTCTGTCTGTCAAAGGCCTTTCTCAAATTTGCCTTTCCCTTGCCTGATGGACCACCACGCTGCACACTTCCACTGTCTGTCCTTCCAACCTCTCCTCAGAGGCTTCCAATTCCATTTCCAAATTTCGAGACCACCCTCCCTCTCTTCTCAGTCAATTGAATCCCAATCTATCTCCATGAAGCTTTCCTGGTTTGTCTAATATATTTGAAATTTGTGTCTCTACCTCAATCTCCTTGCGGATAATGTAAATTCCCCATGCTGGGGGAAGGACCTGGTTGGAGGTTAACGTATCACGATGTGTATGTTTTCCCTCTTGCTGGCTCTCCATGATCGCTGACGGAGTGTCTCATGAGATCCGTCTTCTGAAGAGATCGCCCCTCTTTCCTTCCTCCCTGCCTGTGGCCATGCTAAGATAACCGGCGCAGCGCTTCTCGCTTCACCTTACTTCAGATTGTCAAGTGTTACCCTGGGCCTTCTCCTCAGCACCTCGCTTTCCGCTGTACAGCTTGCCTGCAACCATGAGCCAACTAAACCTCTTTTCTTTATAAATTACCCAGTTTCAGGTATTTCTTTATAGCAATGCAAGAATGGATTAATACACTATCCTAGCTGTAACTGATGAGCCTCCACTGGACTCTAATAAACTCTCACTGCATGTACAGTACATGGCCTTTTGGTCATTCATTGAACAATTGTGTACTGAAGATCTATAAGGATACAAAGCAGTGAGCAAAACAACATCCTACTGGGTTTTTTTCTTAATTTCTTTACAAATTATGAGAATTATTTATTAATGTACTTATTCAACATTACTGATTCAGTATCTGCTCTGCTAAAGACAGTCTTGAGTATAGAAATTATATCCTCGGCTTCTCAGTTATCTCTCCCTCTGCTAACATAGGACACAAATTACTCATCACAATAAGAGCTCAATACATTTTGTTAGTCAAGTGAATTGATGATTGAAGTCCTTGAAAGCAATAGCAACATTTAGAAATGCTTCTATCTTCCTATAAGGACAGCACACGAATGACCAGAAATTTAAATTTAATACTAAATTTAAAACATGAGCAGAGAATTCTGGAATCATTTAAATATCCATGTGAAAAATCTACCTCCACTTCACTTGATGAACCTGGTCAGTAAGACACAATATCTGACCTATGGGACAAATATTAGCTACCTATAATAACTAACTAACTAACCAACCAATCAGAACAATAAATTTACAAGCCAATCTTCTAGATCTGTCCTGGACTCTGGCCTCCCTTTATGATTTCCATAAAGTATCCTCAGACTATGACCATTAGCCCAGGGGTGAGTCTACAGGAAGGCTTATCACAGAGCCCTGCAATAATGCAGCAATTCAAAAAATAGACATTTTCATTCCTGTGAGATCTCATTTGTGTTCCCACTTTTAGCAGACTTAATTCATATTAATTAAAAACACGGATCTTAAGATTAGAATTATGCTGTATTTTTCTTCTGCCAACTACCTGACAAGTATCTGTCTCTCTGAGTTCTCAGATAAATGGCTACACTCATTTTAACTGTAGCTCCTTCAACAATGGCAGTTCAACATGCTTGTGTAACATATACAAATTGTCTTTTGATATTCCAACAGAAGTACATATAAAAAATATTGCCAATGTAAGCAACACACTCTTGATAGGAATATTCTTTTTTGGACTACAGGGTTACTTAATATCCTATCTAATAAAATGACAGATTAATAGCCTTTGTCTTTGACACTGTTACTCTAGAAATCCCCCAGAATATCCTTGATCATTTTCTTAGGAGAATAGTAAAAATATAAAAGAAAGGTCAAGAAAACTCTTTTAAGCACACCAAACACAGCACTGGCCCTAAAAATACAGACTTAAGAAACTTTTCAATCAACTTCAAGTAAGCAATTCCACTTTCTGTAGGAGTTGTGGCATCATTCACCCAGGGTTTGTACCTATGATTCCATTTTGTTTATATTAACCTGAGATCTCTGATACCAAATCAATACAGGGATGGAATTTATATCTGTGGTTACTGAAAAGAAAATAAATAACTCCTTTGTGGTAGCAAAAATATTTTACACCTACTGAGAAAACTGAAGGTCAACATTAATGTGCTTCAGCTGGTCTTATGTGTGAGTTGACCCAACACAG